TTCTGATGAGAGGCCTTTGAGTGGGAGCGAGTCCCAGGATAATCACTCTTTATTTTTCTAGGACAGCTTTCAGAGGAACTCTTCCTTCTCTTTATTTTGGAGGCTGTCATGCATGAATGTGAGATTCAACCAAAGGAAGAAGTCAATACTCAAAAGGAAGTAAAGGAATTAGAATCACAGGGAAATGAAGCCTAAAATCACTGAATGATATGTCTCTGAAGCCCACTTCACTGCTGCATGTCTCCATGTGTGCACTAGTACATTTTCTTCCTTGTATAGGTCATGTGGAATCATATTTTATGTGTCCTGCTGCCAATTCAGCCAGAATGATATGGAGCCAAAAACAAATGTTGTATTGTGTGGATTCCACAAAGTCTATTCCCTAAGATTTTTTTTTAAATCAAAGGCATCTACACCATCTGTCACTTTATATAAGTAAAAACTAGACAGAGAAAAGACATGTGACTGTCCAAGGTATTGCTATGAACCTAACAAAACCTAGGTTGAAATATTCATTTCTCTCCTAAATTTCCTTCCCCTGTATTGTATTTTTTCACCATTAAGATGATCTATTAAACTAGAAAAAGTGTTCTATAAAAATGTCACCTTCATTCGGTAATAATTTGAATACATAATTATTCATCCAAGAAAAATAATCCATTTTAGAAAATTAATTATTGAGTATATAAAGTGCTTTCATTCTTAGAATCTATAATGTGAATGGGCTGGATCATAATTAATACTTTCTAATGTGATTCTAATAAAGGTGTCTCTCCAATCAAGTTTGACAGCCTACTTGCCCAACTTGGCTCTTATTCTTTCAGGATCTTAACAAAAGTGAACTTTAAAATTGTTCCAAAAATAAAAGTAAAATTGCATATGCTATTCTGTTCTAATATCTTTGTATTTACCTAATATTGCTAATGCCATAACTGGAGAAAATAATCATTTTAAAGTTGTTTTTTCCCCACAAGGCTCTCTATTAATCCCTTCATAAGGAATAGATATATTGTTAATGGGTGCAACCTTAATACAGCTACATTTCACAATGTCTTCCCTGTCTGTTTACACTATCATATGTGTGCATCTTTATTTTTATAGTAAAAAAAACACTTTAATGATTGAATAATATTTTGAAGTCAAATCATACAGTATAAGTTACTTTTAGTGTAACAAGTATGCAGGACTGGGACTGGGGTTGCTGCTCAATGGTAGAGCACTTGACTAGCATGTGTGAGGTACTGGGTTTGAGCCTCAGCACCACATAAATAATAAATAAAATAAAGGTATTGTGTCCATTTACAACTAATTTTTTTTTAAACATACAGGACTGAATCTTGGTCCACACCTGCACTAACTGTTTATAAGACAGTGTTACTGATTAAATGGCACTCTCCAGTCACTATGAACTATTTGGGAAAGGACAATAGCAATTTCTCAGTATATATTTATGATTTATATAAATGGATAGTTTTTTGAAACTATATAAATGCTTGCTATTAAAACATCACAAACTCCCAAAACTTCTAGATGGGATAATATCTATATTTGGAGCCTTCTGAAGGAAATACCTTCTATCAACATAGTTTCCACCCCTGCAGTAAACTATTTGGGTAACATTTCCTGTGTGAGTTTATGTTAAGGTTCTGGTGACCCAACTTGCCACCTGATCCAATAAGTATTTATTGCAATCTGTTGCTACCCATTGTATTTGCCTGGTTTCTTTCTATAGATAGGAGCATTATGCTCCCTCATCTTCTAAGACAGATGTTGGTGTTTTCAAAGTTTAACAGAACAGTGAACTCATAGGGACATTCACAAATATATCCTCTATACCATTAAAATACAGGGACTCAGCAACGAATAGGATGTGCATATGTGAGATTATCAATGCCCCTTTAGGCCAATAACAAGGCCATATTGCTCTGAATCAATGGTTCACAATAAAAGGAATAGAGAATCACCAACTCTTGGGTTATAAAGATTTCTCAGGATTGCTTTCAGCCTTTATCCACTGTTTACAATACTCTTCAGGAATGCTAAAATAGACACATTGACTCAACCATGGAAATAACTCCTATAGTGGATGAGGATGACTGATAAAATTGCAAGATAAAACTTAGGGTTTCCATAACAAAAGCAAATGCATTAAAACCCAAGCAAGTGTCTGCAAAGCTTTCACATCTCATAATTTCAGTAATAAGCAAAATATTCAAGGAAGAAAATATCAAAGTTCTTTAAAATTTACCTTTTTAACATATAGATAAAGATTTATACTCAGAGAAACACAACATTAATTGCTATAGTACAGGTGGATCCTTTGTTCCCTACCAACATCAAAATGACTTTGATGAAAATATCAGCATAAATGAATCAAATTAATTTTTAAAAAGAGAGTTTGGAAGCTGGATGTAAAAGATCTGCTGACTTAGTTGGATTTTAAAAGCTAAAGGTATTTCAAAGCAAGAACTTTAAAGATAAAATTATAAAATTACCCATCCTCTAGGATCTGAGCCAATTACTACTCTAAGGAACAGTAAATAGGGGCTGGGGCTATAGCTCAGGGGCAGAGTGCTTGCTTACTATCCTGAGACACTGGGTTTAGTCCTTAGCACCACATAAAAATAAACAAAGACATTCAGTCCATCTACAACTATCAGTTTTTATGTGAACAATAAATAAAATATGATTTAAGAAGGATCTTGAGACTCAAACAACTTTAGAAAGAGAATGATATTTGGTATCAAGTAGAACATTATGAGCACAGAAGATACAATTACAAGAATTTAGAAAGAAAATGGCACCTGCTCTTTAAAAAGTGGGAAGAGTGGTTTAAAAGATTTGGAAAGTTGGCTGACCATCTAACATTTTAATTTCCATCAAAATTCCTAACTCTTACACAAACCATTAGCACCAATATAGATACTCAAAACCAAGTGTTTTCAGAATCATGAGACAAATCAAATTATGTTCTTTGGAAAAATAAGTTTTAGAAGAAAGTGTCTTGTAACAGATGCTATGGACTGTAAAAAGAACCCTTATTTCCATTTAAAATACAACCACAAAATACATGCTTTAAAGACAAATGTTGGACACCTGCCACCTCTATGATATAGATGAATTCCCAAATACTAAACTGTACAGGTGGTTTTCTTTTAATGCAATCCAATGCCACTAAAACCTGTTAAAAACTTGGAATCCATACCATATGCCCATTCTCCTAAAACTAAAGTGAAAGTTCATTCCACCTGCCTCAAGTCTAGCATGAAATTAGCCAGTAGAAAAAGAAGGAGTTATAAATCACTGCTCTGTCAAGTCGAAAACCAAGCATGTAAATTGCTGAGACCAAAAAAGATTCTTCCCTAAGGCAAAAGTAAGAATGTTTGCTTACACCTTTCTAAATAAAGTTCTGTCAAGCTGTGAGGGAAATATACTCATATCCATAGAGGTAGTCAGGGAACCAGCCCTGTGAATCTCCAGTGTAATCTATTTCCACACAAAGGACATCCTCACCAGCTTCCTCCTGGGATTGTAAATAATCACTAATCATCCCAGATGGTGTGAATCTAAACTTATCAGTGACAGATAATAAATCAGGGCATTCTGATGTGTGCCATGCTATTACAGTTCCAATGATTTCACACCAATGGGACATTCAAACTGCTAAGTAGCATAATTAGTTACAGATAATTCCAAGACATTAATCATGCTTGGAATAAATCCTTGGAACAAATATTGAAAAGATTATTTCTTTATACATCTATCTATATCTATATCTATATATACATCCAAATACCTTAAAGGGATTAATTTGGTCCTGGGCTTGTAAGCATTCAGGCATTTAAAGAACACAGCACTTTTTAATACATAGCATTGATGTTACATCACATAATTTATAAAATGAAGCACTATCACTTTGCAATTTCTAAAATTTTTTTCAAACATTTTATTTTATGGTCGAGAAAATCAGAATCTGACTTTATTTCAACTGTTTCTTGAAATAATGCAACTGTACTTTTGTCAAGGAATGCAATACCCCCTCCAGAAATAACTATGGAACAAGTGAATTTTGTTTAGGAATTTAGTGCTTATTTCAACATTTTAGCTACTTTGAAGAAACATATCTTATGACATTCCTCAAGTTCTTCAACCTAATGCCCCATTCAAGTTGACTTTCTCTGGGATGAAACTCTGATCATTTATTTTCTGAAGACTCTCTTCAGAACTTACTCATTTTATGTCTCATTTTCTTAAAATAAAAATCTTCACTAGCTACTCTCAGTAATCAAGCCAAACTCAAGTATTAACAACTAAAAACAACTCAATGGAAGTTTGCCTTCCCCAATTTTGCAGGTATATTTTAAACTGTTAAACTTGAAAATGAGGGGACAGTTGGGTGTGTTATATTGGTCTTTGGGGACTCAACAAACAGTGACATATGTGCAAATAGTTTGTGTCTGGAGTAATGATGGAACAAGCCAGTCCAGGTTATATGAGTTACCAACATGAGATGTTACGTACATTCAAGAGCATTATATGCTAAAAATGCCATACCACACTTATGTGCACTTCTGCTAGATGATCCATAAATTGTCTATCACACAAAATGCTGAGTCCACTCCCAGGTTATAAACCCTTTTATATAATTTATAGTGGTTTTATAATTCAGAATATTTTAATTTACATGAAATCAAGTCAGTTTATTCTTTAAACTTTGGTGTCTAAATTCTTGCAAATTCTCCTTTCCATAAATTAATGGAAATATTCCCTCAAGTTATCTATAAGTACCTTTACTTTTTAAATCTTCAATCTATCTGGAATTTATTGTTATAAAGACTTAACTTTGTGGGGCGGGGGTTGTAGCTCAGTGGTAGAGCATTTGCCTCATACACGTGAGGCCCTGAGTTCAATTTTCAGCACCACATAAAAATAAATAAAAATAATAAAGACATTGTGACCAGCTACAACTGAAAAAAAAAATTTAAAAAACTTAACTTCATGCTTTCTTCAGCAACGTATATACTAAAATTGGAGTGACACAGAGAAGATTAGCATGGCCCCTGCACAAGGATGACACAGAAATTCATGAAGCATTCCATAAAAAAAGATTTAACTTTATACTTTCCAAATTGGTAGATAATTGTCCTAATAACATTAATTTTAAAAGTCAATGCTTTGATCTAAATTATTATTAATAGGATACAGATTAAATCAATTACAATATCTACATGATAGAATACTTTGCAGCATTTTTGAGGAATGTATAAAAATGCCAACAATATATGTAGGTTAGCCTGTTAAAGAAAAATATATACATTACAAACCTATTGAAACAAATCCTTCTTCTGTATATACAAATGTCTGTATATTTGTTTAAATACTGAAAACTTCTAAAGACATTCTTTTATAGTGTAAATATGAGATGTCTCCCCAAAACTCATGTGTAAGACATGCAGGAGGTTTAGAGATGAAATGATCACATTAGGAGAACCTTAATCCAATCAGTGAATTAATTCTCTGATAGGGATTAACTGATGGGTAACTAAAAGCAGGTAGGTTGTGGCTGGAGGAGGTAAATCAGTGGGAGCATGCCTTTGGGGTATAGATTTTGTCCCTGGTGAGTAGAGTCTCTCTCTCTCTCTCTCTGTTTCCTCATGTGATGTCCTGAGCTGCTTTCATCTGCCACAATCTTCCACCATGATATCCTGCCTCACCTTGGGTTCCAAAGAATGGAGTTGGCAGTCTATGGACTAAGACATTTGAAACCATGAGTCCCAAAATAAACTTTTCCTCCTCTAAATATTGTCAGGTCTTCTGGTCATGGCAGTGAAAAATTTGACTAAAACACATACAAATCAAACTGTTAATGGGTACACTGAGGATTAGGAATTGTGATGGAAAAGAATCTTCTTTTTCAAGCTAATTTTACTTAATGTTTAAAAATCTTACTTAAAGTAAAAATACATGTATTTTGCATTTGAATGTAAATTTTGCAAACTAAAACAATTCCTTAATGTCAACCAATAGTATAATTAAAACATACCTTCCAAATCATTAAATGTATATTAAAAACAACCTGATAAATACCTCCTATCTCAGAGATGGGGCTCTAGCTCAGTGGTAAAGTGCTTGCCTCACATGTGGAAGGCACTGGGTTTGATCCTCAGCACCACATAAAAATAAAGATATTCATCTACAACTAAATAATTTTTTAAAAAGAAAACCCCTCCTATCCCTTCCTTACTTTGTTGGACTGTGACATGAACAAGAAATGAACATTTATTGAGTTTAGCCTCAGAGAATTTGGAGTTGTTATACCAGTTAGCCTACAGTGACTAAGACAAGCCTCCAGTCCTGTTTCAATGACCTTACTTACTAATTAGGAAAACGAAATGTGCATATAAAAATTTGAGAGATCAAAGCAGCATATGCATACAATGTTCCTGATAGTAAGGACTATAAAAATGAAATTAAGAAGAAATCCCCAAAAGAGTTTCACATAAGAAATAGGACAGAGGGCTGGGGCTGTAGCTCAGTGGCAGAGTGCTTGCCTAGGACATGTGAGGCACTGGGTTCAATTCTCAGCACCACACAAAAATAAACAATAAAATAAAGGCATTGTGTCCATCTACAACTACAAAAAATTAAAAAATAATAGAACAGAGATGGTCCAGTTTTGACAATATGATGAGGGAGTATAGAAAAGTGAGTAAGCATAGAATAAGAATAAACATTAAATTGATGAATTTCATTGGAATAGACTCTCTTTACTAAGAAGTAGTGAAGTTAATATTAAAAATATAGGTTAGGGGGCTGGGGCTGGGTGGTAGTGCACTTGCCTGGCATGTGTGAGGCACTGGGTTCGACTCAGTACCGCATAGAAATTAAAAAAAAAAAAAGGCCTACTAACAACTAAACAATAAAACTAAAAAATTTAAAATATATATATCTAGGTTAGAACCTAATTATAGGGAATCCTCAATTTAGGCCTAAGGATATTGAACTTTCTCATGCAGAATCAGTATGACAACTAGACATTATTTCTCATGCCAATGCCAATTGCTAGGGAAGGCTATGTCTTTACCAGGTTGAAAAAGACTCAAGTTATACTAAGTACAGTAAGAAAGGACTTCATAATCCATTAGCAATCTCTGACATGGAGTAATGGAGGCATTATTCTGTAGTTGATATGTGCTAACTCTTTCAGAGGCAAGGACATTTTTGAGCTGTGGAGAACTAAGTAGATCTCACAGTGTTTTTTTTTTTTTTAATTTTTTTCAGTTGTGGATAGATACAATATCTTCATTATTTTTATGTAGTGCTGAGGATAGAACCCAGTGCCTCACATGTGGAAGGCAAGCACACTCTACCACTGAGCCACAGCCCCAGATCTTTACAGTGTTTTTGAAAGATAAATGTCACTTAATGTTGGTGAGACAAGAAAGATAATTTGGAAAGAGCAATAGGACTTCGTGAGGCCTGTGGCAAAGGAGGAAACAAAGATGACACTAAGGTTTTAAGTTCTGGCCTTTAGATTATCTCTATTGCCATGTATATCTAAAAAGAACAAATAGAAATAAATTAAAAGAGAATGTCCCCCTTTTTGTATTCCTTCAATAAACTCAAGCCTCTAAAAAAACAAATAAATTAAAAAATTAAGAACATTAAAATAAATTATATATTTTTGAAATTGGTAACAATAATTTAGAGAAGAGTTCATTTTCAGGGAGATTATGAGATTTTAGAGCTGGTAACAATGTGGAAATGTCTTGTTAAACATTTGCTTGGGGTATGATATAGAAAATGCAGAATAAAGAAAAAGGAAAACTTTTTTTTTCCTCTTCTGGGAAACAAGTTGCTAGAGGAGAAAAGAAAATCATGACTGAATTATGATTAGGCAGCTCCAGACAGGAGAGACAAGTTCCAAAAAAGCAATGGCCCATCAATCCATTGAATGGAAAAAAGAATTGAAAGTGTTTATTACCCTAGTTTAATCACTACATGTTGCATACATGTATTGGATTATCATACTTACTCCATAAAGTGGTATAAATATGCCCATCACTGTGGCATACACCTATAATCCCAGTGGCTCAGGAGGCTGAGGCAGGAGGATTGCAATATCAAAGCTAGCCTCAGCCACTCAGCAAGGTTCTAAGCAACTTAATGAGACACTGTCTCAAAATAAAAAATAAAAATGGACTGAGGATGTTGCTCAATGGGTAAGTGCCTCTGGGTTCAATCCCTGGCATCCCCCCCATACCAAAAAAGCAATATAAACTTAAAAAATAAAATTGATATGAAAAAAGAACTATATATTTCTTTCTCAAAAATGACATTTAAAGAAAGCATAATTTTGCAATGCAATACATAGTTCTTCTTAGCCTTTATTACAGAAATTACAAATAAAGATGGATAACTTTGGGCTTTGGTTGTAGCTCAGTGGCAGAGCACTTTCCTAGCATGGGTGAGGCCCTGGGTTCAATCCTCAGCATTATATAAAAGCAAATAAAAATAAAATAAATGTACAAAAAATACAATAACATTATCTTTTTTAAAAAAGATAATTTTAAAATTTGTAAAATTCTTGTTACTTAAAAGTTAAGCTTGACTTGCTTTTAATTGAATTGACATTTTAGCTCCTTTTTTTATATTTAGAAGAATTTGCCTGAGAAATCTACCTGAAATCACATAGGTGCATGGTAGATTCACAATTGACTATTTGAGCTTCACTACTATCTAGTGAAAGGATCAGTCTGGGATTTCATTCTCCACTATAGAGACTGATTTAACTTCTAGCTAAAAACATGATCCGATTTGCTTAAATCCCTATGTAAGTTCAGTGATGATATCAGGATAAGAATTGAAGTCTCCTAACTCCAAATTCTGTGGGTTTATTTTTTTAGAATATCACAGACATTCTGCCAGAATGGCATATTTGTTTTCACATTGGCCTTTTAAAATGTTACATATTATTATTTCGCATAAAGAGACTGTTAGTGGGCTCCTTATCTACTTTTTCTATTAAGTTGTGTTTATTTGCCCCAAACAGAACAAGATTATGCCCTTTATGAAAGCTTGAGGTTAGTCCATAACACCCTCAAGAAAGATTTATGATCTCACACAATATTTTACTGCTGTCATTAAAAGCAAGTGGTGAGATAAAGTGGTTTCAATTACACAATGAAAGTCTTGTCCTATTTCAAAGACACACTGAATTAAAAATGCTTAAAGTAATTGAGTTACTGTTTTCCCTTCTGTTCCAAAATATATAAAATAAGAAAATTCATTCGTTTTCATAGTGTTATCTATTATTTATAGTGAACAAATACTGCATATGCTGGGAAAATAATAATCCATACCAAAGCAGATTATTTTCCTTTTTCCATTGTTCTCTGACTAAATTGCAAATTTGGGAATCTCCAAAAGCTACTGAAAGCTTTTTGTTTTGTTTTGGTGTTTGATTTTTGTTGGTACTAAAGATTGAAACCAGGACCTGGAACATGCTAAGCACATGCTCTACCACTGAGCTAGACCCCAACCTCTTTATACAGGTTTTTAAGCAGTATGTTTCCTTCATTTTATAGGATATGGTTGATTTAGAATCCCTTATTATGTAACTGTCAGGATGTAATCCAGGTTAAAGAACAGAAAAAATGATTGTGATTATATACCTCTGAGACCTCTAAAAGATTGGCACCTATGTTCAGACTTGTTCACATTCAACTCTTTCAGAAATAAAATGCTTCCATTTTATTCCAGGGGTAAAATTTTTTCATCTGCATTAGAAAGATCATTTCTATATATCTTTTGGTAAAATTTGTAGCTCCTAATACATTCTAAAATGTGCACCAATCATCTAATAAATTCTTATTTGTCTTTCATATATAGCATATTACACTGGTATGAGTTAAGCTGTTTAGGCGTGTTAGATTGCTTATAAAAATGGTCCTAATTGTCTGCCCTTCGCTTTATTTGTAAATTGAATAAAAAATCTTTTGTAATGTAGTTTGGAAGTTCCTCTGATCACAAAGTGTTGTCTCTTTTCCTACTCTTTGAATCTGAACAGCCCCTATGGCTTGATTTGGCAAAAACGAATGTGATA